GTTTTACTGTTTTTTATTTTGTAAAATTGTTTTTGAAAACCTCTAACCAAATAAGTTTTTCGTCTCACAAACATTTTTCTAAAACTCTTCTAAAAACCTATTTTCGAGTACTGTTTTTAGAGATGCAAACTAAACATGCCCCTGTATCTTTTTTGTAGAGGTAATTTGGGTGGTAAAATGAAGATTTTTATTATTTTTTTTATCAGATACGATTTTAGGAAGGGGAAGGAGGGACGATGAAGTCAACCATTGATCTAATAGACATTATCCTCGCTGTTAAATTTTAAAGTTATAGATTCAAGAATTATTGTAGCAACGAAAATTATGTCACATTTTCAATAACTAATTATTTAGTTAGATGAATTCTTAGGTATGATTCAATGGCCGAGCTTCTTTAATATTTCATAAGTCTTAGATTCAACACCTTTTATGTTTTTTAACGATCAATCACCCTTATTTCTCATTAGATATATTCTAAATTAGCTCGAGTTATAGCGACTTGTATTTCAGCTTAGGAGAATAATCAGAACAAGGTTAAACACCATGTAACAAAAAAAAAATGATCGGGAGAACAAGAAATTTTGGTAAATTAAATATTTATTTTGAATTGCTTTTATACAAGAAAGATTATTGATCTTATTAAAACATCTCTCACATACTATATCATTTTTTTTTGGTGAAAATTCCTTTCAATATATTTCTTATGAATTTACTTTATTAGTAAAATATTTATTCGAGGTAAGGAAGTGAGCCAGCGATAAAAGTTCACTCCCCGCATACAAGTGGTTGTGGGTTTTACTCTTGTAATTAGTTGCCTATTAGAGAAGATTTAAATCCGTCTTTTTATGTTAGTCACGTAATTAAAATGATAAATAAGATGGGGTGACAAATTAATTGCAAAATTAAATACTAGCCAAAAATAGAGTAATGTTCTGTTGACCTTGACCAAGTATGTGGCACAATTTTTATGAAAAATTTGATAAAAAATCCTACGCATGATTGTGGCAGGACCCATTTTTATTGTGGCTTGGTTATCTTTTTGTGGCAAATGGGAATAAAAGTCTAAAACTCATCTGTTACTTCCAATTTTCTAATGCAGTAGTGGTATTTTATGATACACGTCTCTGAAAGAGAAAGATGGTGAAAAACATAACCGAAGAGGCGCAAGAGAGATGGGCAGAAACCCAGAAGACGACGACACATGTCCCTCGCGGAGGTACGTGAGCCATGACGATTACTCTAATTCGCCATAGCTTTTAAAGCTCACTCATATGGATGGGCCTACCTACACTACGTATACCTTTCTCTCAGCACTACATATACCTCTCTCTCGGCTGCACAGAAGACAACTGCGAAATCGGTTTCTTTTTGTTTTCTGAATACCAATCTTTTCGCGGAGTAATAGAATCTTGTTGGGCGAAGTTCCGTGTTTCATGCTGCTGTCTATGGTTAGTATTTGTTTATGGAAAAAAAAAGAAAGTATTTGTTTATGGGTATAATAGCATACAAGGCGTAGTTACAACCAGTTGTTTTTAATGGTTTCTTTGCGTTTCTGTTTTCTGTCAACCCTTTTTGGATCTCGGTCTTGTAAGATTTTTTAAACCCGAAATTGTTTTTCTGCCTTCAATCGTGCATCTCTCTCTCTCTCTCTCTCTCTCTCTCTCTCTCTCTCTCTTTCTCTCTCTCTATATATATATGTAACATTGGGTATACACTCAAAACAGTTCATGTGCATATGATCTTGTTTTGATTGTCAAATGGGCTCTTCTGTAGGAACAATGTTTGCGCAAAAGGCTATGTGAAAACGACTAGGTGGAGAAACTAAAAACGTGGTGCTGCCTCTTCGNTAAAATGATAAATAAGATGGGGTGACAAATTAATTGCAAAATTAAATACTAGCCAAAAATAGAGTAATGTTCTGTTGACCTTGACCAAGTATGTGGCACAATTTTTATGAAAAATTTGATAAAAAATCCTACGCATGATTGTGGCAGGACCCATTTTTATTGTGGCTTGGTTATCTTTTTGTGGCAAATGGGAATAAAAGTCTAAAACTCATCTGTTACTTCCAATTTTCTAATGCAGTAGTGGTATTTTATGATACACGTCTCTGAAAGAGAAAGATGGTGAAAAACATAACCGAAGAGGCGCAAGAGAGATGGGCAGAAACCCAGAAGACGACGACACATGTCCCTCGCGGAGGTACGTGAGCCATGACGATTACTCTAATTCGCCATAGCTTTTAAAGCTCACTCATATGGATGGGCCTACCTACACTACGTATACCTTTCTCTCAGCACTACATATACCTCTCTCTCGGCTGCACAGAAGACAACTGCGAAATCGGTTTCTTTTTGTTTTCTGAATACCAATCTTTTCGCGGAGTAATAGAATCTTGTTGGGCGAAGTTCCGTGTTTCATGCTGCTGTCTATGGTTAGTATTTGTTTATGGAAAAAAAAAGAAAGTATTTGTTTATGGGTATAATAGCATACAAGGCTTTTTAATGGTTTCTTTGCGTTTCTGTTTTCTGTCAACCCTTTTTGGATCTCGGTCTTGTAAGATTTTTTAAACCCGAAATTGTTTTTCTGCCTTCAATCGTGCATCTCTCTCTCTCTCTCTCTCTCTCTCTCTCTCTCTCTCTCTCTCTCTCTTTTTCTCTCTCTCTATATATATATGTAACATTGGGTATACACTCAAAACAGTTCATGTGCATATGATCTTGTTTTGATTGTCAAATGGGCTCTTCTGTAGGAACAATGTTTGCGCAAAAGGCTATGTGAAAACGACTAGGTGGAGAAACTAAAAACGTGGTGCTGCCTCTTCGATGACTAAGGTATGTTGCGTTTTACTATTATGATTCTCGACGACTTTTTGGTAGGGTTGTAATTGTCTGTGTGCGTGTGTGCATGTGTGTGTGTTATGGAGAGTGTGGCAACTTACAAGCAGGCTTTGTGCCATTGTTGAAATAACCTTCAAGCTTTCAGAGAAGTTTTCTCTCACTAATAGACCATCACTGCACATATATGCTCAGTTGAGTGTTAAACTTTTAGTGTCTATCTTTGATGTAAATGCTGGTGGTTTTGAGCAATCTAAGTCCAGCTTCTCATAGGGAAGAAAGAGGATTGAGTACATTTTCTACCATTTGGACTTATTATTACACTGAGGGCGAGAACATTTAAAATTGATTGTCTTATGTTGTTGTCGTCGTCATCGTTATCATCGTCATCTTTTTTAGATTAATTATTAATTACACAAATTTTCTCCTTGACTAGGCTTTATTTAATGGTTTTGTAGCTGTATATGCTTATCTCACAATGTTTATAATGTATGCACTTCAGAGTTTGCAGGGCAAAGAGGATTAAAAGAAGACATGGAGGACCTCTGGACTATGTATTGTGGGAAGTCGAATTGTTCAGGGAGTATTGGGAGGCCTTGTGGTGTTGATGATATGGTGTTTGTGACACACCCCTCTTCATGTATCAATCATGCCTTGTTATTTTGTTCCGATATTTTGCTATTGGTCGTATTGTTATTCAATATGTTTTATAAGACATCGTCGAAATCCACACATATGGCTGCTCGATTTCGTGGCATTTCAAGTTTGCAGTTAATTTCTGCCATTTTTAATGGTTCTCTAGGATTGTTGTACTTTTGTTTGGGAACTTGGTTGTTAGAGGAGAAATTGAGAAAAATCAAGACTCTTGTACCTCTGCATGGGTGGTTAATAGTTTTGTTTCATGGATTAACATGGTCATTAGTCGGATTAACCGTGAGCCTTCGGGGAAAGCAATTTGTGAAATTCCCATTGTGGCTTTTGTCAATTCTTGCCTTCTTGTTTGCTGGAGTATCTTGTGGTGTATCCCTTGTTTCTGCCATTCTTGACAGAGATGCATCTATTAAGATAGCCTTAGATGGCTTGTCCTTTTTAGGAGCTAGTTTGTTGTTGTTATGCACTTATAAAGGCCACAAATCTGAAGATGGCGATGGCATAATTGACGGGAGCGATCTTCATACCCCATTGAATGGTCAGACCAATGGAAGCAGCAAAATTGATTCTGCTGGCTCCATCACTCTATTTGCCAATTCTGGGTTTCTCAGTAAGATGTCGTTTTGGTGGTTAAACCCATTGATGAAAAGAGGTAAGGATAAAACCCTTGAGGATGAAGATATACCAAAGCTGCGTGAGGCAGAGCGGGCAGAAGCTTGTTACTTGCAGTTCGAGGAGCTAATAAACAAGCAAAAACAAATGGATCCATCATCCCAACCATCAATTTTGAGGGCCATAGTACTATGCCATTGGAAAGAGATAATCGTGTCTGGGTTCTTTGCACTGCTGAAGATAATCACCGTTTCTACTGGTCCTCTGCTTCTTAACGCATTCATTGAGGTTGCTGAAGGTAAAGAAAGTTTTAAATATGAGGGATATGCGTTGGCTATATTGCTTTTCTTTTGCAAGTGCTTGGAGTCCCTATCACAAAGGCAATGGTACTTCCGGAGCAGACTAATAGGTCTAAAAGTTAGGTCTTTGCTAACGGCGGCCATTTATAAGAAGCAACTGAGACTATCTAATGCTGCAAAGATAACGCACTCATCTGGTGAGATAATGAACTATGTTACCGTGGATGCTTATCGTATTGGAGAGTTCCCTTTCTGGTTTCATCAAACATGGACAACAAGCCTCCAGCTCTGTTTCGCACTCATAATCCTCTTTCGTGCAGTGGGGTTCGCTACAATTGCATCCTTGGTGGTGATAATTCTCACTGTCCTTTGTAATACTCCGCTTGCTAAATTGCAACATAGATTCCAGTCGAGGCTCATGATTGCACAAGACGAGAGACTGAAGGCAAGTTCAGAGGCTCTTGTGAACATGAAGGTTTTGAAACTATATGCTTGGGAATCCCATTTCAAGAATGTCATAGAAAATTTGAGGTCAGTGGAACATAAATGGTTAGCAGCTGTTCAGTTACGTAAAGCATATAATAGCTTTCTTTTTTGGTCATCCCCTGTATTGGTCTCTGCTGCTACTTTTGGAGCTTGTTATTTCCTTGGCGTTCCATTATACGCTAGCAATGTTTTCACCTTCGTAGCAACATTACGTCTGGTTCAGGATCCTGTCAGATCTATCCCTGATGTTATTGGTGTGGTCATTCAAGCAAAAGTATCATTTGTAAGGATTACAAAGTTTCTTCAGGCGCCTGAGCTGGAGAACGCACAAGTGCGGCAGAAAAGCAACAAAGAAAAAACAGACCACAACATTGTCATCAAGTCGGCCAATCTTTCATGGGAAGAAAATCTTTTGAAACCCACACTTCGAAACGTTAGTTTAGAGGTTAGATCTGGTGAAAAGGTTGCCATATGTGGAGAGGTTGGGTCAGGCAAGTCAACCCTTCTAGCAGCAATTCTTGGAGAAGTACCAAATATCCAAGGAAGTGTAAGTTCCTATGGCTAACTCCCTTTCTTTGATAGCTAAAGTACAAATCTTATCATTTAAGAATTGTTTCTTTTCACACTTTATCAAACTCTCAATTCCCAGCCTGTCATGGGGTTTTGTAGTTGCAGATTCATGTACAAATGGGCGTTATCGTCCTTTTTCCATAATGAATAGTAGTTCTATAGTTGATGACTAATCTAATTATATCAATCTGATACACTCAGATTCAAGTACATGGGAGCATTGCCTATGTTTCCCAGGCAGCATGGATTCAGACAGGAACCATCCAAGAGAATATTCTATTCGGGTCTGCTTTGGATAATCATCGATACCAAGAAACATTAGAGAAGTGTTCATTGTTGAAGGACCTCGAGTTGCTACCATATGGTGATCTCACTGAAATAGGAGAAAGAGGAGTTAATCTTAGTGGTGGTCAGAAACAGCGGATTCAACTAGCTCGTGCATTGTATCAGAATGCTGATATATATGTCTTGGATGATCCATTCAGTGCTGTTGATGCTCACACTGCTTCAAGCCTATTTAATGTAATTACTTTCTCACTTTTGCTGTTCAGTTTATTCGTTTTGGTCTTTGGCTCAGTGTACGTTGACTTGTTTTTGCAGGAATATGTCATGAAAGCTCTTTCGGAGAAAACAGTCTTACTTGTGACCCACCAAGTGGATTTTCTCCCTTCATTTGATAATGTTCTGGTGAGTTCATTGTCACGTTAGCTATATTTTCTCGATTAGTATGTTTGACAACGAATGATAAGATGCATTTAATGAAGTAATCACACAAAATGTGTGTTTAGTAACAATACTAAATGTCATATACAGTTGAATCATCAAACCACATTTTCAACAATCAATGGTTCTATGCCTCCGGTAAATTTTAAGACTCAAAAATCTCCTTTATGAAAGTATTCTAAAGCCATCCCCATTTCTCTATAATCTGTACTAATGCCTCCAAACCATTGAGCCAGAAAGTTGACTGTTATAGTTTGGCTTCAACGTTATACATTTTATCAGCCTGTTCTTTTTTGAGCACAAGTTGGTGGAACTATGGAGGGAGAGGGAGAAGGCAATCTAGCTACAATGTATTGGTAACTGTGCACTTATTGAGAGGACATCATATGCATATCTGAGTGAACCTCTAATTTTCTTCAATCATAGTAAACATTAAACAACCATTATATAATATGCTGTGGTCGTAATATATTACATCTTTTTGACAGTTGATGTCAGATGGGGAAATCCTGCGTGCTGGTCCTTATCACCAGTTACTGGCCTCGAGCCCAGAATTTCAGGACCTAGTCAATGCACACAAAGAGACCGCTGGTTCTGAAAGGCTTGCAGAGGTTACTTCTTCCCAGAGGCATGAAACTCCTGCCAGAGAGATCAGAAAGACTTATACTGAGAAGAAATCTAAAGCATCTGGAGGTGATCAGTTGATCAAGCAAGAAGAAAGAGAAATAGGCGACACTGGTTTCACACCTTACCTACAGTATCTAAATCAGAATAAGGGTTTCTTGTTCTTCGCCCTGGCTGCTCTCTCTCACCTGACATTTGTGATTGGTCAGATATTACAGAACTCGTGGATGGCAGCAAATGTTGACAATCCTCAAGTTAGCACATTGCGGTTAATCACGGTTTACTTGTTGATTGGATTAACTTCAACATCATTTTTGCTCGGTAGATCTCTGTCCACAGTTGTTCTGGGTCTCCAATCATCAAAATCTTTATTCTCACAGCTATTATTCTCTCTCTTTCGTGCACCCATGTCATTTTATGACTCCACACCTCTGGGAAGGATACTAAGCCGGGTAAATATCACAAACACACGGCATACAATTGTGCTTTTGAAGTCAAAATAATTCATGAAACTCAAGTTTTTCCACATCTTTTTTTCTCTATATAGGTGGCTGTTGATTTAAGTATTGTAGACCTTGATGTTCCATTTACCTTGGTTTTCGCTCTTGGGGCAACCATGAATGCTTATGCTAATCTTGGAGTGCTAGCTGTTGTTACATGGCAAATCTTGTTTGTCTCCATACCGATGGTGTATCTGGCAATTCGCTTACAGGTATACTTATTAACTATTGAGTTTCTTGAAAGATATCTTGATGTCTATAATTTGCCCTCTTCAAGAAGAAATTTTTACATTTGTATTACACGATATTTGCAAGAACATCTAAAGTAAATTGCTAACATTCACTAAAGAAATATTAAACATCATTAGGTGTCATGCTTTTACAGAAAAGAGAAGAAAATTGATGAATCTCACCCTGGGCAATTATATAGAATTAGGTACAATTTGGATCTAAGGTTAATTTAGTAAAGTGATTGAGTAGGGTAAGTCCTTGCTTGTTTGTACAAAACAAGAAAGGTGGAAGTGAATATTGTTATAAAAATTGTTGGAAGTTTCTAAACTTAGATTGGAATAAAAGGGACAATTGCAATGGTTTCGATCTAGTGTGTTACTAAATATAAGTTTGTAGGAGTATAACTAATGCATGCTTGAAGAAAAATTTGTGCATATTTAATACACAGTTTGTTAAATCTGAATATTTATGTAACTGTAAGTAAATGGTTTGCAGCATGGTTTGGATTTTTTTGGATAGGTTTCAATCACTAAATCTGTTGTGCACTAATCATTGTTGAGCAGAGATACTACTTTGCCTCTGCGAAAGAGTTGATGCGGCTTAATGGCACAACCAAATCTTTGGTAGCAAACCATCTTGCTGAATCTGTGGCAGGAGCAATGACAATAAGGGCATTTGAGGAGGAAGACCGGTTCTTTGCAAAGAACCTTGACCTCATTGACATAAATGCCAGTCCATTCTTCCACAACTTTGCAGCTAATGAATGGTTGATCCAAAGGCTGGAAACACTTAGTGCAACTGTTCTTGCCTCGTCAGCGCTCTGCATGGTTTTGCTTCCTACTGGAACTTTCAGTTCTGGTGAGAATTTGTCTCATTTCTGTACTATAATTACTTTACCAGCCACTCGCCCTCGAATTAGAATATTTTCTCACCGTGTGGTCAACATTCCATTCCGCTTAAGTTGATTCATTTGATGGAGCTTTATTTGTTTGATCTAGTAAGGGGTGTTAGAAATAAACAATCGCCCGACAAAACATCTGTTATTTGAGGCAGATAAAGATTTATTGAGGTGTTTCCCTGGAGATTTTTGAGGGTGTTTTCTGATAACATGGGCTCACTGCTCTACTCCATTAAGTAGTTGGAGTCTAATCTTGTGTTGGCAGTTAGCTATTGATCCTTATTATGATTAGCGAAGTTCCTTTCAACTCTGTCGAATGGTGTCACGCCCTTTTCTCCCTTCTGTAAGTTCCCTTGCAGTCAGTCAACTCCTGTCCCTCAAAAGATTGTCAAACTTCATGGTTATTCATCAATGTAAGGGTAGGACGATTGCTTATTCAATAATTCATGCATAAGGGTAAGGAACTTTGGATGAACTAATGCAAATGGGTGTAAGCCTTGCTGCTCTCGGAAATGAATTGTTATTGCTCTATTTAGAAAAATTACACACTATGCGGTTGTGTTTTTGTTTCTAATTAGAGTGTTGGAAATTGTTTGAAACATATATATAAAGACCGGTTATTCCTCTCTCTCTATCTCTCTCACAAACACACACACACGCACGTGTCACATATATTAGNCAAATGGGTGTAAGCCTTGCTGCTCTCGGAAATGAATTGTTATTGCTCTATTTAGAAGAATTACACACTATGCGGTTGTGTTTTTGTTTCTAATTAGAGTGTTGGAAATTGTTTGAAACATATATATAAAGACTGGTTATTCCTCTCTCTCTATCTCTCTCACAAACACACACACACGCACGTGTCACATATATGACATCTCTTGATCATCTCTTATTTCGCTGCAGGATTTATTGGAATGGCTTTGTCATATGGTCTATCATTAAACATGTCCCTCGTTTTCTCCATCCAAAATCAGTGCACTTTGGCAAATTACATCATCTCTGTCGAAAGGCTTAACCAGTACATGCACATACCTAGTGAAGCTCCCGAAGTGATAGAAGAGAACCGTTCCCCAGTTAGTTGGCCAGCCGTGGGTAAAGTGGTGATTCAAGATTTGCAGGTAAACTTTTTGACCGTTAATTTGAAAATGGTGAAGTTTTACATACAAATAGGATTGATTGACCAGAAAAAAAAAAAACTAACTAGGATTTTCATTGAAATCAGATCAGATATAGGCCCNTCCCTCGTTTTCTCCATCCAAAATCAGTGCACTTTGGCAAATTACATCATCTCTGTCGAAAGGCTTAACCAGTACATGCACATACCTAGTGAAGCTCCCGAAGTGATAGAAGAGAACCGTTCCCCAGTTAGTTGGCCAGCCGTGGGTAAAGTGGTGATTCAAGATTTGCAGGTAAACTTTTTGACCGTTAATTTGAAAGTGGTGAAGTTTTACATACAAAGAGGATTGATTGACCAGAAAAAAAAAAAACTAACTAGGATTTTCATTGAAATCAGATCAGATATAGGCCTGACGCACCACTTGTTCTTCGTGGGATTAGTTGCATATTTGAAGGAGGGCATAAGATCGGTGTAGTTGGTCGGACAGGCAGTGGAAAGACTACTCTCATTGGTGCTCTCTTCCGTTTGGTGGAGCCAGTTGGGGGCAAGATTGTTGTAGATGGAATTGACATCTCTTTAATTGGACTTCATGATTTGAGGTCACGGTTTGGTATTATACCACAAGATCCTACTCTTTTTACCGGTACTGTGAGATACAATTTGGATCCTTTATCTCAGCACACAGACCAGGAATTATGGAAGGTGATGTTTTATTTCTTCCTCATGTAGGCCAATGTTACTGTTCTCAAGATTATTATTGCTGAGCAAAGTTTGTATAAAGGAAAATACTTTGTTGATCATTCCTATATTGTTTGCAAATCATAATTAAATGCTGATTTTCTTTTAACATTTTCAATAGGTTCTCGGGAAGTGTCAGCTTAGCGAAGCTGTTCATNTGTTGATCATTCCTATATTGTTTGCAAATCATAATTAAATGCTGATTTTCTTTTAACTTTTTCAATAGGTTCTCGGGAAGTGTCAGCTTAGCGAAGCTGTTCAGGAGAAAGACGAGGGGCTGGACTCCTTAGGTAATCTTCATTTTGGAATGCCTTGTGCTCTTGTTTTATGTGACAATAATGTGTAACAATTACACTGCGATTTCAGTTTTAGAAGATGGATCAAATTGGAGCATGGGGCAGCGACAATTGTTTTGCCTGGGCCGTGCCCTGTTGAGGAGAAGTAAGATTTTGGTGCTCGACGAAGCAACTGCATCCATTGACAATGCAACTGATTTGATTTTGCAGAAAACTATCAGAACTGAATTTGCTGATTGCACTGTGATCACAGTGGCTCATAGAATACCAACTGTGATGGATTGCACAATGGTCCTAGCCATCAGTGATGGTAAGTTTTTTTTTCTTACACTGCTGTATTTTTACAAATGTGTTGTTGCACTTTCTGTTTTCAATTGAAAAAAAGTCTAGAATTCTCTTAAATAATGTTTTGATTTTATATCAGGGAAACTAGTGGAATATGATGAACCCATGACGTTGATGAAGAAAGAAAGCTCACTCTTTGGGCAGCTCGTCAAGGAATACTGGTCCCATTCTCAATCTGCCGAAACACTTTGAAGCTAACTACAACGTTTTGTGTAGTTAACTTTAGCCGAAGGGTGTGGGAGTTCACAGCTATGGTCAATCAATAGGTCCGTTTTGACCTAGTGTCAAGTTATCATGTATTCTTTTACACAGCCTGCCCAGTCGAGGAGGGTTGTATCAAAAGGAGACCACCCAAAACTACATTCAACTTTCATTACCTGGATAGGAAGTGAAAAGAAATAAGAATTGGAATCAAGAGTCCTGCACATCACCAGAGTGCCCCGACTAAAGGATATCCTGCTCGACATCACCAGAGTCCTGCACATCAGCTGTGCAACACTGCCTTGTCGTATAATCCCCCATTTATATGTACAGCTCCTCTTAATTGAACTGTGTTCTTTAGCTATTCNTCCTGCTCGAGTGAGCTTTATCAGCTGTGCAACACTGCCTTGTCGTATAATCCCCCATTTATATGTACAGCTCCTCTTGATTGAACTGTGTTCTTTAGCTATTGTGCAGTTTTGCTTGTAGTCGTTATAAGATAAATTAACCCAAAATATGAGGGCTGCATTTCGTATTTGTTGTAAAAGTATGGTCACTTCTACTTTCCTTTTGGTAGTATGTCCCCATGAAAAGAGGAATCAAATGTAGTATTGTGTCTATCAGCAATTTATTCATATTTGCTTCATGAACTTTTCTGTTATCAATGTGTTCTATTGCAAGTCAAAACTGGCAATGGCAGAAGGTAAATTAAACTGATCAGAACCTGAAGTACCTTTAACATTACGATCAATACGTTATGCAAGAATCAAAGGGTGGGCTTACTAACACTTCACAGAACATTAGGTCAAGCAAATGCAAATCAGAAATTCTCAATCATGATGAACATAACATTTTACTAACTGGTATGTCATTGACAGCAGCAAACTAACATTTTAGATCTTCATGCATAGTGGAGAGAAGTCACCGACATAATTGAATTGTGAATAAAACACTATACAACTGACTCAGCCTTTCTAGACAACATAGTCATCGGCAGCCTTTTAACCAAACAAGTAGACTCACAATTCTTCCCCTTAGGGTCCTCCGAGTATTGCATTCTCGATATCTTCTCTACTCAGTGCATAACTGAATCTCCTCTCCACATCCTTTTCAAGATTTCCTGGTCCACTTTTTAGGTACCTGCATTTCAAACACGACCTTTTGGGCCTCAGTGGTAGATGAAAATTTTATAAGAAAGTGAAGTGGGTAAATTGGATAATCCAACCTCGTAATTATTCAAGGAGTTTCAAAATGTTTTGGTATATTTTCTTTCATGGTTGGGATTGACTTGAAAATAAATTGTCAGACATTGAACTGCAAAAAACCTATGAACCCCCCAATACCAAAGAACTCTTGCAAAATATTGGAACTCAAACCTCCAACTAAACAAGCTACCAATCAATGTTCCAAAAATCCCATTCAACAACATCAAAAGAAGCACAGTAAACCTCACAAAACCCCAAACTTCAATCACATAAGCATCTATGAAATGTGTGTTTACAAACCTTATATATAGGTCAGTGACATCAAGCGAGAGCTGGGCATGCCAATCGAGCTTTTCAACGAACCAAACGGCTCTATCCTCCTTGCTCTGACAGAACCCTAAATTCTTCATCCACGCTTCGATGCAAGGCAGACTGTGAGAGTACAAGGGCTTCTTCTTATCAGGCAAGCTTTTGAGCCACTCGTCCTCCGTCTCAGTGATATCTGCTTCTTCAGACGACTTCGAGAAAACTAGGGTTTTTCTCGTTATAGAAGAAAAAGAAGAAGAAAAAAATCGGAGATGGGGACACGAAGGGTATTGAGGGAGAAGCAAAGGACATGCTGTGGAAAATCTCGACGGCGTTTGGGATTGTAAAGAAGAAAATCTTCTGTAATCCGTACTAATGAATTTATAAGAGAGAGAAATGAGGGACATTTTTAGAGGTCTGTCCCTAAATTCAGTGTCTGTTTTTACTTCTCAAAGTCTGTAGACGCTGGGAAGATGAGGAAGAAGATAGGGTGTGCAAATACGACGTCGTATTTTACCTTCAATCAAAATGTTGTGGGTCTTTTCCTCACGTGATCATTCTCACAATGGTGGCCAGTGGCCCAATGCTTAGGGTAGAAAAGGGGCCGGGTTGTCCAGCTTCTCAGGGGAAAAACCGCCTAGGGTCTGCTCATTGGATCGGTTTAGTGGTGGTCTGGGCAGCCCACTAGTCTGGTGGGTATCTGGGTCAGGTCCAGCCCATGGGCCGTCGATGCTTTTAGGTGGCGCACGTTAGCCTCCAAATAAGTCTGTTGATTCAACTTTGCCGCCATTTCCCGTTTCCCGCCAAAACAGTGGCGTTCGATCTCTCTGGTCTTCTCTCTCTGTCTCTCATCACAATCACACACAAAAGCTCCCCAGAAACAATATTGGACACCAAGCACTCCCTCTGCAGACAAAACTTTCCTTTTCTTCAACTGCGAAACCCTTCATTTCCTTGGGTTCTCTCTCTCCCATGGCAGAACCCATAGCTTTCTCAAAGACGCAACGCATCGTACTCCTCATAGACCTTAACCCTCTCTTCTCTCTCCAACAGAACCCTAACCCATACCTGACTTCGATCCTAACCTTCTCCAAACTCCTCCTCTCCTTACATTCTCTCTCCAGTTCTCTCTTCGCCTTCAAGCTTTTCATCTCATCTCTCTCTCCTCTTCGCTCCTCTTCCCTCCTCCCTCGGTCCCATTCATCTTCTCTCTCCTTCAACCACCCTTCAGAGACCCTCAATTCTCTTTCCACTACCCTCACTTCTCTCTCTTTTCCAACTCAATTCGCTAATTCACTGCCTCATGCTTCGTGTATCGCCAGCTCATTGCTTCAGCTTATACATGATTACTCATGGGAGTCCGAAATTGAGAATCTGTCAGGTAAAAATAACGATTTCCCAGTTATTCGTTCCCATTTGGTTATTCTGCTTTCTCCCATTTGTAGATCATTCAAATATTTATCTGAACTCATGGGTATTGATTTAAATGACGAAAGTTCAAATGAATTTATTGTGAAATTTCGTGAATTGTTTGGTGCTGTGAATGATGCATATGTTAGTAGGGATATTCATTGTAGTTGGATTGACGTTAATTATGAAATGGGGTGCACTGAAGAAAATGGTGGAATAAATGAGCCTGGAACACAGATTGCAGTACTGTTTCAGAATGGAATTAGGAGCTTAGGTTGGAGTTTTGGTTCAACTGAGTCAATTGTCTTGGGTTCTGCTCTTATTCCCTTTGGATTGATATATCCGAAGATTGGAACTCCATTTAATGTTGCGAAAGGTAATAATCTGAACAAGAGCATTTCTGCCCAATTGAGTCTAGAGATTTCAGATGTCAGTGGGAAGCCTTTGGAATGCAAGTGCTGTGATCTTCAATTACTGAATCCGATGTTGTCTAGGCTTACTTCTGATAATACTGTAAATGCTTTGAGCTTTAAGGATTCAGAAACTGAAGGGTCTGATAATAATGAATCATTTTGGGGTCATTTGGGTGATGGACCTGTAAAGCTGCATGTCAATGCAGTGCAGAGGTATGCAATGAGTGAGAAAATTGAAGGGTGCTCGGTTGGTCATATCCTAGTAAGAGGATGCTCTGGACAACCTGGCAAAAGTAGGAAGAAGTGTTCGGAAGAATTTTTTGCAGACAGGGCTCTTAAAATGCTATCGAGTGAAATGGGTGAGTTCATTCAGAGGAATTCCATTCCCATATGGCAAATTCTTCTGAGCTTTCTTTACATGGAGGGCTACTGGGCTTTGGTGTCTCTTTCAAATAGCAAAGGGGATCGATTCAGTGGTATTNTTCCATTCCCATATGGCAAATTCTTCTGAGCTTTCTTTACATGGAGGGCTACTGGGCATTGGTGTCTCTTTCAAATAGCAAAGGGGATCGATTCAGTGGTATTCTTAAGCCTTTAACAGCTCATTTGGCTCTCCTCTCTATAATAGATAATGGTCTCTTTACAGTAAATAACTTTATTGGATTGAACTTGGCAAACATAGATGTTGAGATTTACAAAACCTCTGTTGATAAGACAAACTCAGATAGCTGTACTGGTTCTCAAACTGATACATCACCATCTGGAAACTGTGTGCAACTAGGGGATGGCAAAAGAAAAAAGAATAAAAAGCATTTGCATCAGAACCTCACATGGAGCTCCTTCCGTGAGGCAGCCTTTGAATGCTTTGATTTTGACTTGACAGAGATTTACTTTGGCAGAGAACTTGACAACTCAAAGAAGCTAAAGTTTTTAAAATGCTGGATGAAACAAGTCAAAAAGCCTAGTCGTTACCGCCTAACAGCACCACATGGATCTAAGTCACTAGAGCACATGGCCAAAGAAATAGATGAAAGGCTAAATATGGCACAAGAAGAGAGTGAACAGCCCACGTCTCCTCATGTTTCATCCGAACCATGTGGAATGCAGGAGGGAGCTGCTTCTGTTTCGTGTTTGGAGGCGGCCGAATCTTTCTTCAATAATCTTCCAATGAAAATCCAACAAAGCCTTGAATCGGGATTGGACTTGCAGACCTTGGCAGAGAGACTTGTGAACTCAACCATTCATTGGTTATCTCAACAGCATGAAATAGACAACAAAGTGGAGGGTCAAACCACAATGGTAAAATTAGGCGACACTTACAGCAAAGTAGTTGGCGCTAAACTAGTAAAACTTTTACTAAGGGAGCCCAAGGAATTAAAGGAAAAGCGCAATGATAATCTTCCATCATTTGAAGCATCTGATCCAAGTACTAGATCAGAAAATATGGTTAGAGAGTATCCTTTTTGTAGTATTCATATAGAATGCAATGTTGCTTTTATTAATCTAAAAACTTCGTGGGAGTTGCAGGAATTGGCTTTATTTGTGTAACAATTTCCTTAATCTGTTGAAGATATGAATTACAAATGTTACTTCGGATGGAGATACTCCGATCGGAGATTGCAGAGCGTATTAAGGAATCTACAAAGCAGGAGCTTGTAAAGCAGATTTGCTCTCTTTTAGAGATTATTCAGTACCTGGTAGAAGGAGGCTTTGATGGTCACGTAAGCCTTTATAATTATGTTGAAAGGACCATAAAAACAAGGTATATGTGACAATAAGGCACCAAAACATATTAATCCTTTCTTTTTGTACTTTTATACTACCATATCTTGAGATCAGAAATTTTTATTCTTAGAATGAGTTGACATATCTTAGCATCNGCACCAAAACATATTAATCCTTTCTTTTTGTACTTTTATACTACCATATCTTGAGATTAGAGATTTTTATTCTTAGAATGAGTTGACATATCTTAGCATCTCTTCCTCATTTTGTGTAAGTTGTCTAGAATACCTACTTAAGAACTTCACTCATTGAATAAGTTTTTTTTCGTTATCCTCTAGCCCTGTACAATGTTGTTGGTTTTTTACTTGTATTAGAGTTCAATTGCTCACAGGGTCATTCCTAANCTCTTCCTCATTTTGTGTAAGTTGTCTAGAATACCTACTTAAGAACTTCACTCATTGAATAAGTTTTTTTTCGTTATCCTCTAGCCCTGTACAATGTTGTTGGTTTTTTACTTGCATTAGAGTTCAATTGCTCACAGGGCCATTCCTATNAAGAACTTCACTCATTGAATAAGTTTTTTTTCGTTATCCTCTAGCCCTGTACAATGTTGTTGGTTTTTTACTTGTATTAGAGTTCAATTGCTCACAGGGTCATTCCTAAGAATTAGGACCCAAAATACTATCATGGATGCAGTACAATATGTTGAGTTTTTTGTTCACAACAAAAAGACTGGCTTGGCTTGCTATTCATGTCCTATTCGTTCCATATATGTCAATGATTCTGTTATGGAGCATATTAATGTTATGATCCCAAGGATTCATTGCCAATGGTAAGCTTGCTTATGTTATTATTGTAGCTGTTTTTCTTTGAACATTCAGAAGACGAATTCTGGTCCAGGTTTGTTCTTTTGAATTATGATGTGCTTCATTCCCCTCTCCCCCACCCAACAACCAATTAATCTGAACTAAATATGTGCAAGCATCAAATAATTACCTGAGCAGAAGTAGTCAGACTAAATGACATTCTAATGCTAGTAGTCAGACTAAATGACATTCAAATGCTAATTTTCAGGTATTCTCACATTCTTGAAGATGTTGTACATAGTATCTACGCAGAAATGGATCTGTTGCTGTTTGCTGACGAGATTGAACCACCGATTCTCCTATTTAACAGTGAGGACAGTAATCAATCTTGGAGAGAGAAACCAGAGAGGGATGAGACGGCCGAAACAAACAAAATTCATCAATCAGTCTCAGCAGAAGATGAGTCTTCCCAACCGCCAGAAGCTATTGATGAGAGTCCCCAAGGGGTTAGAAGAGAGGAGCATGCACGCAAGTTAAATGAAGCCCGTGAGAGGAGAGAAAGGGCCCGAAGATTTACATCTTTTACAAGGTGGGTACCAGATTTGCAAAGGGTTTGGGCTCCAAAGCAGCCTAAGGCAGTGAAACTGAAGTCCGAGTCTATTCAGAAGGAAACGAAAAGGAAGGAACGAAGAAAGGCTAGTTATAGCATAGTATTGGAGACTCCAGTGACTGGGAAGAGGCGTTCATGCTCTAGAGAAAACAGCCTCGAAGACGAAGAACAACTACATCGTGGGAATAACTCTTCTACTTCTGTTTCTAAAGCCCTGTTTCAAGGTGAATGATGATACAAGGTTGGTGACATTCTTTCAGCTTCCGTCGAGGATTTTGCATATGCATTCATTCATACGAGCATTGATGCAATACGAATTGGCCTTGCTGCTTGTCGACATTTTAACATCATAAGGTTGCCTCAAAATTCAACCAAACAGTTCAACTTATTTTTGACATTAGTGTAGTACGTTGTGTTTCATACCTTCTCTATAACATGAATGCAATTGCAAGATGGTAATAATTGTCTGAATTGCTTTGACTTTTAACATCAAAGAGCTGTATCATTGATTCATGTAAGGTCTATGTACTTTAGAAATTTAACATTATCCTTTAGTAAAATCAGTGGAATGTTGATTTGACTCATCATTTGCACGGGTTTCCCTATGTCCTTGGCCTCTTTCTTTTTATTTGTTTGTTGAGGCTTCGGTTGTGTTAAGAACTCTCTGTCGTAATATGTGTCTAGCTACCATCCCTTCTACTGCTCGTTGGATCAAATGGTTATTAAGAGGTCGGTTGGCTTTGTGTAGAGAGGTAAATTAGGATTTTATGAACCTTATATACAGCAAATATGAGTCTCATGTGACTTGGAAACGCTGAACTCCATAGACTCTATCATCAAACAGTAGCAGAGATCACATGACCTGCAAAGGAAAGAGTATAGTTGTTAGTATCTTATAATACATTACGATCCCGTGAATATATTATGCGTAGTAAGCTAGTAGTGACATGCATTTTTTTTGTGTAACAAGATCATTTTTTTAAGTTGGAATTTTTTAAAAAAAATTCTAGAAAACAAAGTCACATCGCTTTGTATATGTTATTGTTATTTTTTTATTAGTTTGATTTCAAACTATTGCAATTGTTTTCTTCTTTTGCGATTCTATTTTGCTTTTGCTGCTTCTTTTTCTTCTTTAAACAAACAGAATCTTAGTTGTATTTTGATTTCTTCCGCGAAGATAAAGAATTATCTCTTTCAATCTCTATCACCAACATGCATCGCACGAGATAATGGGTGAGATGCAATCTTATTCATATTATTTTGGATGTCATGTGTTTATATTTATTTATGTATTTTTTAATAATTTAATGTATCTTATGAAACATGATTTTTCAAAAAGAATACACATTGAGATATGAAATTCTTTCTGGTACACTTTTTTTATTTATTTATCAATTTTAGCTCATCCACCATACATTATTCATGAAGAGTTGGCTTATTCATGATAAGTGACGTGAATTGGTAAACAATTGATATAAACTGATAACATTTTTTAAAATTATAATTCCTGGAATTTTTTTAGTAGAATAGCCTCACATGCCACATCGTTAAGATTAGGATGTTAAATCATAATTTTAAGTCTTGATAGTCTTACTCTTGTATTACGGATACATGGAGAATACCTATTAACATTTTACTACTGATTTTGGCCCAAACGTGCAATGATTTGAGAAGAGTTGTTGATGCTGAAGCTGGTTATTCCTCGCAACTTCATTCCCCCTGGGGTATCATCATGCTCTTGCTAGAGGAAATGGAACGTCGTCCGTTAATCTTCAAGGTGGTTCTTCTTTGGTTCTTGGGGTATTTTGCTTATCAAGTTCCTGCGATATACCGTTTATCCTCTGGGAAAAAAGTTGGGGAGGAGTCTTCAATCGATCTAGGTCCAGAGTATCAACGTCCGTCTAGGAAATGATAGGACGCCTGGACTAAAGACTCTTTCATGTTGGACTCCACGGCACGTCACTAGTAGAGTAGTAGTGGTGGAAAGACCCAGACTATACCTCGAATTTAGTTGGTCAAGTTAGCTTTGCTAAATCACATGCAAGTATTGTTACCCAAGGGTCCATTTCGAGTGAGCCGTTTTGGTATGTGATACTATTACGGTTAAAAATATGATTACATGTGTGTATATGAACACTTGAACACCTTTTCTTTATAAATCAAATTTTCAAGAATAAGTTCTATCCATGAGTATATAACGATTAGTATTAGAATTAACCACTAAGTCAAGTATAGGAATGTGAGTTATGACTCTTTGTGGACAATTTATAAGTTGGATAAAGATGACTTGCTATTATGTATGGGCATAATGCTATCTGCTTAGATATTAATAGATGAGTAGAATCACCAAAGAGGAAGGGTTATCGTTAGATTAGTGTCAATAGACTAGGCTGTGAAAGTGTGATGAAATGTTACGATCTCACATCGATTAAAAATAAAATTAGATTTATATATATAAACTTGACACTCTTCTCTTATAAGCTTGTTAAGGACAAATTCTATCCATGGGTTCATAACATGTATAGATACAACAAGTACACCATAATAACTTAGTTCCACATAACAAGATGCATATAGTCTTGTGAATAGTTCTACATCATACATTTGTTTCTTTGACAAAGTTGTTTTCTTTAATCTAAATTAAAATATTTAAAAACAAGTGTTACCAACCGGTATAATAGTCCTTCATTCCACCGCTAAGATCACTACAAACTCCAAAGAAATAGAATAAAAGCTGAAAACCAAAGGACAAGAGCAAAAAAAACCAAAAGACGGATGAATGACAGGATTGAAATAAACGAAAATAAAACCGAGGGTGTCGCCCCACCAAGCAAGTTCATGCCCACTTAAATCCTCAACCATTAAGCAATCCACATCCAATCTAACAGAAGGGTGAGGCAAGGGCCTTACTCATGGGAACTCCAATCTCAGTTCCCATCTAAACTCTCCTGACCTGGATATTGTGAGTGGATTGGAACCGCCAGATGGGCTGTCTGCCACTCTGAACAAGAGCTACGTCTTCTCCTTCCCTCACCATCCCTTGCTTCTGCATATACAAATTCACCGTATATCAGATCTGACACAAAAAGATCTGAATGATATACTGTGAGACCATCACAGCTATTTCTGTATGTGTTCATAAAATACAGAAGGTGCATTAATTCGTTTACCAGTTAGCCATCACAGCATGAAGATACATATTCCTTGACCACAAATTTTAGATAGCAAGAATAGACAATTACCCCCATTGCTCAGCAATGATCAACTCGTGAAAATACTTGTACATCTCAGTTACCACATAAAACATTATAAATGAAATGAGCAAGTGCAATGAAACCTTGTCTTCTGGTAATGATAAAATGAAAACCTTACCTGCAACAAAGACAATGCATTTGCAAAGGTCTGCTCAGCGTCATCTGAGAACTCCATATATATGGGGCAAACTCCTTGGTACAAAGCCAGTCTCTGTTGTATTCTCTTCCTGCAGGACAGTCCATGGATCGGTATTTTATAAAAAATAAAAATATAAAGAAGAATCCCATAAATTAATTTTCCGGATTTCCATAACTAATCCAGAATTTATCATTCCAGCCACCTAAAGTGCATCAGTGATGATAGTATGGCCTCGTGTTCTTAAATGTAGAATTGTTCTTTCCAAATACTAACTCCATGATTTCACTCTGAATTTACAGACTCACTCATTTGTGAAGGCAAATATAGTGCCAGAAGGTCGATAATGGCTCAATAAGATGGCCATGAAACCAGTCCTGGTGAAGACAACGGTTGAAGTTCCAAGAGTGTTAGACATCATTGTTGCATGGAATGCAAACATTTCACTCATATGATTCTGCACAACATGAAAAGTTAGGTATTCAAGGTTAACGTTCAAATGGCAATTTCTGAAAAATTTTGTGCACATATACACACTCAACAACTACAAATTATGATTGGACCTTGAAGGCTTGGCCAAGATTGGGCGGTGTTTCCCCACCAACAATGGTTGCTTCAGTCCGTAACGAAACTGTGTGCATGACCTTGACAGCTTTCAGAGGGAACCTGTATGGTAGTGAGACAAAATTAATTAAAAATGTAAAGGGCTACTTGTTTATACTCAAGACTATCTATGAAACCAAAAACCCAAAATTAGTTTCATGACAACCTAGAGGCTACTTCTTATTTATTTTGAGCTACAAAAACAGAGAGCAGTAATAGTAGCATGCAGCTTCACATAAAAAAATGATAACTATCCATTGATTAGAGCAAACTTGGATTTGGAAGCCTTTCCCAGTTCATATTTCGTTTTATATGGCGTCCATCTTCATCGTAGCGACAAAGGTTTTCTAAATTGGGATAACTCATTTGACTGAACAAAATCTTACAGAAAATGCCTATGGTGGGCTGTGCTTTCCCCTCATTCCAAATGCCCCCCAAGTACAACGAAGGTAACGGGAAAAAGGAACTTACTTTCCATGAGCAGTTTCTCCAGAAAGCATAACTGCATCAGCACCCTCTCTAACAGCAATGGCAATGTCTGAAACCTCTGCTCGGGTAGGTGTCGGATGAACAATCATGCTTTCCAGCATATTTGTTGCCACAATTACAGCTTTCCCCATACTACGACAAATCCTGATAATCTCTTCCTACATTTCAAGATGAATTGTTGATGACGTTTTGTAAGTTAAGGGCAAAAGGGAAGAAAAAAATTTCTCTCTGTTACTAAGCATTCACACATTACCCCTATCATCACTGTTTCATCAACAAATCAAGGGCATTACCTGCAACAGTGGAACCTCTTCAATTGGCAGCTCTGCTCCAAGATCTCCTCTGGCAACCATTGCCTGACATAAATAAGAAAACAAAATTCAACTGCCAACATGTAGAAATAAGCTAATGAAGACATTGGACAATGACAGCTCGTTGCTATCCAAAAAACTACTCCACTCAATAATGCAACAAATTGGACTTGCAAGAACATTTCGAATCCCCTTCCATGATTTTCACAGCATAGAGGAGAATGTCAAACCATAGATATCGGGATCGACGATACTCCTACTGTCCCAGGAACCAGGGTCGCATGATCCAAAATGGGGTGAATTTGTGATCTAGATCGCTTAAATTTCCGACCAAAATTGTAACTCAAATCTCAAAATACATATTAGTTAATTATGTGTATATGAATGTATAATTATGTAAAATCTCATATAATAGAGAAAGCGATGCTATAGAAAATGAATCACGACTCAAAATTGCGTACCAACTAAACCTACCCCCATCGCAACGCATATCAGAAGATATGCTGTATCACGTATCCATACCCATACCACGTACTAAATTGATCCACAATCCAGGTAACATTGTCAAACCCAATTCAAGCCATAGCTGACTCAATACCAAAGTATCCAAAAAATGTGCTACAAGCAAAAACCCTAACCTGCAACCCAGTTTTTGCTCAAAAACAACAATGCCATGCTTTTACTTTTCGTAACGAAAAAGAAATAAGAGGTCAGAACAATACATAGATTCAGGTGATTACCCCATCAGATGCAGTTATGATTGAATGTAAATTGGGTATAGAGTCTGCACTTTCAATTTTCACAATGACATGTATATCTGCATCACAACCTGGCAACAGTTTTTTTTTTTTTGAAAAAAAAGGAAGATGGAAGTTAAAACCTGAACCAGTATATAACATGCTTCTAATAATCATCTACTATCTACTATCTAGTGATAAGAAAAATCACGTAAATTTTACTTTTCAGATAATTCTTCAATTCATGGACCACTGCTGCATCTTTGACAAAGGAAACAGCATAAAAGTCTACTTTATTAATCACTCCAAACTTGATATCATCCCAGTCTTTTTCTGTTGCAAAGCAATACAGGTGATTACATTCATTTGCAAAACAAAAAACTTAGTGCTCCTGCATATTAAAAGAGCAAAATTGCAGGCATCGTGAAAATTATTGTTGTTAGGTCTAACCAGTGATGGATGGCAGCGTAGCACTTTTTCCTCGAACATTCAGATGTCGTCTAGATTTGAGCTCTCCTCCATCAACAACTTCACATGTCACTGAATCTTCAGTTTTGGACTTCACTGTTAATGACATCATACCACCTACAACATAAAGCAAGAGTCAGCAGTGTGTATTAATCAAAGCAGCAACTTTTTTAAATATTCCTGACACCAGGTACTTTCATGATCTATTTGTAAATCCTCCCAAACAACCCAAAATTACGTCTAAAGCGCAAAAAGGAAAGATCAGAAAATATTTAACAATACTAAAAGGCTGAAAACTACTCTGCTGTTGAGAATTTTACATTTCCTTGACAACAATGAATATAAACCATAGAAGTGAAAGTATGAAACAGGATCTAAATCCCCCAGATAACTGAAACCCTTGGCATCATTGTAATTCTTTGCAGGTAAAAACGCTGACAAAACAAGGCAGCAGGTGCCTAGAAAGTTTAATTCTGAATGAGCAGTGTGGGATATGACCAAATATCATGTCAAGTATGAACCTCTCATCTCTACTTCATTATAATCTTTTATCAGAATATCTTCATATGAAAAATAGCAAACTCCTTTTTGAAGATCCTCTCAGTTCTAGGCTACAGGGAATAAAAGGCAGAGTATAAACCTCATATTGATTGCTAAAGAATCTCATTTCTTTTATAATGACCTTCCGTGGCCCTAAAAAATCAAAATGTACCTTCATGTGATATGTCTATTCCTCCTCGAGCCTTGAACATACACAAATTTCTGAAGTGTGCAGTTAATACACAAAGAACATGAAAAAATCTACTTTAAAGGACAGCAAGATACTAAAGATCTAATTCCACAGATGCTACAGCAGCCTGTACGACGGTTTTATCTTTTCATTTGACACCCTCCACCGTAATGAAATATGATTGGCACACAGATTACACAAATATCAAAAAATTTAAAGCTAAAAAAAAATGTGCTCTCCAGTTCATAGGAAACTTTCATGTATGATAATACTATACAGTAGTAGATACAATAATCATTTAAAACACAAAAGTATGATGGAATGAGTAGTTGTACTTGTAGCATACCATCAACAAGGAGCATATCCCCCACTTCTACATCATTTACAAAATCATCATAATTGACGCTGACACAGTCTGCTGTGCCAACCCCTCTACGAATTGTGAAAGTGAATTCCTGGCCACTAACCAAATTGATTGGTTGGGGCAAGTCACCACTCCTAACCTCAGGTCCCTGCCAATGAGAACAAAAAATTACAAAGAATATATTAGTGGATGGATATAAGTAACTATGTAACAAAGGAAAGAATAGACAAGAAAATGTGCCTGCATGTGTTTTGGCGTGTGTGATAGTAATAGGACTCTAGAATTTGGCCATACATATTTCATGCAGGCCTGTTCATTGGCAAAAGGACCATGGATCCCACTTTTGATGATTATCAGATCCTAATAACTTAGTTTTCATGCATATAGAAAACAAATTATGTCTGGTTTCTCTGTTTCATGTATAAATTATTGTAGCTTTGTTTTTAGGTAGCCCACTCATTCAGTGGCACAACTCCAACGCTTGGAATAAAATAGTTCGAATTTGCACTACAATGACTTTGCCACTACTGCCCCTAAAGCATGGGCATATGGTCACCAAGAGAGCTTCTTATAGGCATAAAGGGCTCCGCTGTGACCAAAGATAGCTTTGTACAAATCCTGAATAGCTGAGTTGAAAGTCAGCACACCCAGCATACATATAGGGCAAGTTTTAAAAAATCAAAAATTTTGGGGCCAAGATAGCACAGAGAATAATTGTGGACTGATGGGCACAATTTTTATTAAGTTTCTTTTGTTAACTAGTGAACGTAGGTATAATACTATAAGGTGCAGAGAGTGGTTGATAAATGTCTGAATGTTAATTTCGGCCATTACGTGAGTGGTACAAAACTAAGCATATTTTTGCTGATCGTGCAGCCCATACGGTAAATTAATATATAGAAGAAAAGAGAAGCAAACAAGAAGATAGAACTTGCCTTGGTGTCAAGCATGATTGCAATGACGTTGTCCTTGGACTGGGCATTATATTCCTTAACCAGATCAATAACTTTCTGATGAGATGCATGGTCTCCATGGGACATGTTCATTCTAGCGACGTTCATTCCGGCCTCAGCCAGCTTCCATATCATTTCCCGAGTGTTGGTGGAAGGACCAATTGTGCAAACAATCTTAGTCTTACGTCTAACTGTAGGCTTAGACCAAATACCAACTGATGTGTTGTCACCAAGATCTTGAATCCCACGCAAATGCTGAATTTGCTCTCCTGTCTGATCAAAAGTCAAAAATAATGATAACAATATAGTTAGCAAAAATGTGAAATGAAGTTAAGGTTGACAAGGGTGTCATTCTTCTACAATAAGCATTTGGTTTGGAAATAAACGTTTCCCAAGTTGAAAGGCTTCATAGCTGAAATAACTCATCATCGACAGTGCTACTACCAGAATAGTGCAAAAATTAGCAAAAAGAACAACTGATCAATGCTGATAATGAGGATATTGCCCTATTAAACTCGCACACCACATAAATGACATTTTATTTGGAAATTTAACAAATTTACATTGCTGAAAATAGTATTTTTATTATCATCCGGAAAATAGTTTGTTGTATGTTAAGGAGATGAATATATAAGCTTTAGCCCAATATTCACTCAAAAGCTTAAGCCATAAGCCTTGGGTTCATCATCGTACATTAGTCCTTTAAATTCACACTCTTCAGCTGGAAATGGACGGCAGCCATCCACCTCGAGTCTAACAGTATGCTACAGAAACAATCATGTTAATGAAGGTCCTACGAAGAAAAGTTAGAAAACAGGGGCAAATTTAGCCAACAATTCAATGGTACTGGCAAAGAACCAATATAAGAGGAAAAAAAGAGCCAATGAGCAATGCAATATTGAGTTAATTTGTAATTATGCCACCGAGATGAGGCAGATAATCCAAAACACGTCATAATCAAATTCCAGTCAAAATCCAATCTNAAAGAGCCAATGAGCAATGCAATATTGAGTTAATTTGTAATTATGCCACCGAGATGAAGCAGATAATCCAAAACACGTCATAATCAAATTCCAGTCAAAATCCAATCATCAAGTTCAATTCCAAATCTTTCAAAGCACATCGAACCACCAAATCTGACTAGCATGTAAAGAACATAAACTAACCGAATACAGGTTCAATTCAATCCAAATATTATAAACTCATAACAGTCAACAAAAAAAAAAAGTAATACTATATTGACTTGAAAATTAAACTTGATAATCACGATTATTGAATAGGCAGTGAGTCTAATAAATTATGAGACCAACGGTGGGAAATTAAGAGTTGTGATTATCGAGGTTAATTTTTAACTTAGCATAACATTGCTAAAAAAAGACACGATACAGCAATTAAAATAAGTGGAATTGAATATAAGACCTTTGGCACATCTTCGGGCGACACCGGAAGAACTTCGAGCTCCGAACGTGCGGATTTCTTGGCAGTGATCGGAGCAGTAATGCGAATAGCTTTGTGGCTCTTTCCTTCCTTGTGAGCCAGCACTTTGGAAGCGAAACCACAAGGCTTGATCTTTTCCACTAGGTGTTGAAGAGATCCAGAGCTAGGGCACGCAAATGAACTGTGAATCGATCGTGTGGCCACTACTTGAGCCATTGTTAAAGATCTCAGAGAGCCAGAGAAATTGAGAGAGAGAGAGAGAGAGAGAGAGAGAGAGAGAGAAGTGTAATTCGAGAAATGTGCGTGAGAGGGTGAGAAAGAGAGAGAGTTTAAATGGTGTGTTTGGTCTCAGAATTGACTCTTGAAGATATCGCCGCTAAACTTGGCGCAAGTGAACAGTAGGAGGAGAGTGGCTTCGTTTGTATCGAAGACGAGAATGTCCGCTCTACTTATATTCAAAACGGTTGGATTTTCATTAAAATTGAAGAAACTCTTCTTTTTGTTTTTCAAGGAATAAACTTTTAATCGTCTGAATTTAATTTATTAATTATTAATTTAATCTCAATTAAATTATTTTATCTATTTTCACCATTACATCAATACTAAGTAAATCAGATTGAGCTGGTCTTTCGTTGATCTGACAATGAAAACTGATGGATAGACTTAATTAAGATGAAATTGATAATAATAAAGTTAAATTAAAATAATTAAAAGTTTGGAGACTAAATTAAAATGAAGGCAAAGTTTAGGGCCATTTAAAAATTATGGATGGTGAAGTACCATTATACCCTCGTGAATATTAGTGGGTATCCATCCAGAGTCCCGGCCTGCAAGCCTTGGGGGTGTAGTCCAGTTAGGTGGACCAACTAAGTGATCCAGCAGTGGAAAATTGAAATAGAGGCAATTACGTCATGATTTGGGTATGGGTTGGGCAATTCGGGTTCGGGTTCAATTTTAAATTCAGATGGATTTTGCTCGATTTTGGTTTGTTTAGATTTGTTCAGAAAATGAATTAGATTTTTAAGATCGTTTTGAAAATGAATTGACTTCAAGGAACCATTGTTTCATGAGAATAGATTACATGTATAAATACTTTAAATTTTATGTCAAGAAACCAAAAGGTGAAATATCTGTAGAAGAACTTAAGGTGTTGCTTAAGTAATAATAACGCTACATTGTATAGTTATAAATTTAAATTTTAATAATTTTTTAAGGTTCAATTTTAAAAAATTTATTTTTTATGAATATCTTAGTTTTGATGTTGATGATCTATTTTTAATTGGACCGAATAAGAAATTAATCAAAATACACATAAATTTATCTGAACACGATTGACANCATTGTTTCATGAGAATAGATTACATGTATAAATACTTTAAATTTTATGTCAAGAAATCAAAAGGTGAAATATCTGTAGAAGAACTTAAGGTGTTGCTTAAGTAATAATAACGCTAAATTGTATAGTTATAAATTTTAATTTTAATAATTTTTTAAGGTTCAATTTTGAAAAATTTATTTTTTATGAATATCTTAGTTCTGACGTTGATGATCTATTTTTAATTGGACCGAATAAAAAATTAATCAAAATACACATAAATTTGTCTGAACACGATTGACGGTTGAATGATTTAAAAAATATTAAACTCCATTTCAATTCAAATACATATTAAATTTAGAACAATAATATCATAATTAGTTAGTCATTCTTTTTATATGTAACGATATTTTACACTGCATAGGAAGGGGGAACTCGACGTATCGGCATGCCACTTTATCAAGGAGAGCACCAACTCATTGAAATTGTTTTAAAACAATTGAAAAAAAAAAGNTAGTCATTCTTTTTATATGTAACGATATTTTACACTGCATAGGAAGGGGGAACTCGAAGTATCGGCAGGCCACTTTATCAAGGAGAGCACCAACTCATTGAAATTGTTTTAAAACAATTGAAAAAAAAAAGTATATATATATATATATATATCATAAACATCAGACGACGTCGTAACGAGTCATGATGTAACTCGTTCACCAACCACTCTTTTCTCTTTGGATATTCGAGGCTGTCGTGACTCGAGACATGCTTTAGATTCAAAGCTAACAAACACCAAATCGATGAGCTCTTCTCCGATTCTTCGCGCCGCCAACCACGCAGCTTCGTCGGAGATGCTGAGCCCACTCTCCCATGTTCGTCGAATCAATCAGTTAGGGTTTCTTCTGATGTAAAAAAAAAAAACCAGAGCTTTTCCTCTTTGATGTAGAGCTCGCTCAGTGCTTTCAAAATCCGGATTCTAGCCCATCCGGTGTTGCTACCATGTCAGCCTCTTGCTGCCACACTTTCTCTCACATCCCTTCGCTTTTCTCACCTCCCAATTGTAGGAGTAGGGTCTTGAAACTCTCGAAAGCCTCAGTTCCACTCAATCGGACCTCGGGCGGGTACAATTCTTCCTCTTCCAAGCCTTTCAGAAACGTAAGCTCTTTAACTTCTACGTGCGTTTGGTTTTATTTTGCAGTGTTACATGAATCTGATCAGGGTTTACTGGGTTTCCGTGGGAATGTATATGGATTAGTTGAGTTGCCTTTTTGATTAGGTTGGACTTGAAAGCCATAGAAAGCTTGTGATTCTGAGAAAGAAAATTGATTAGAAATTTGAATTCAAGATCTGGTTTTTAGGACTTAAGAAAACAGAAGAATAGGTTTAGCTGATGTTTATTTTATTGTTTGGTTTACTTTATAGTGTGTGTTCTTTTTGAGGAAACTAAAACAAAGGGCTAACTCACAGGATTTCAAACTCTTAATGTTTTTTCCTTTGTTGTCTTTGAAACCAAAAGGGGTGTGTTATGGGTAAGTTAAATATGTCTTTTTGTTTCTTGTTTCTCAGTTGATTTCCTGTTGTTTTGTAGAAATGGAGATTTTCATGCTTTAGGCAGGGAGACACTTCGTCAGAATTTCTTCGGGCAGAGTCCACGGAAGATAAACTGCCAGAGGAATTGGTGAACCCCCAGTTTGACCAATCAAATGTTGTGAAGAGTGATTGGATTTCGAATCTTAGAAAGGTATCTGTATAAATATGTCTTTTGTTTTTTTTGCTCTGAGGGCATGCTTCATTTGATAGTTAACTTTAGTATTCGGGCGATAATATTCGTTTATCATAGTATCCAAGTACCTTACTACTATGATACTGAATTGGGTGGTTTTTAATATTCATACTGAAAATCTATATTTAAATGGAAAAAAGACTGGATTTTGGCAAGGTTCATTTGCTAGACTGTGGTGACCTTGTAATATCAATTGTAGTGTTTGATATTTTATACATGACTTGGGGTGCCTATTAATCTTGCCTTCATTTATTCAGTGGTTAATGTTAAGAAGGCAAGGCGATGTGAGGTTCTTTGGCTAAGAAATTTTATGGGAAGTAATGATTAGATATGTGAAGTGTTGGCTGATAAGGGTGTGTGTTGCAACCTCTGGCATGTTGGAGTTGTTGATGTGTCCAAATTCTTTTCTTTTACACACTGGGAATCCTTGAAGTTTTATGTCACATAGTGTGTGCAACACAGGTTTTATTTTTGACAAATGTAGGAATATATTAGGAAAGAATTAAAGAACTTTGAACTGGGCATCAATGTACTCCACTTTTTCTCTATGAGACTGGCCGGTTTACTATTTCCCTGATTTAATGCCTGCTTGGAATTGTACTCATATGCATAGTCGTCCTTGTCTCCCTTGAACGTGGATATAAGAATATATTATCATATATGTATGAGGAAATATATTTGGATTTTTTTGAATGAAATATGTTAGAATTTATTGAGTAATATACAGATTAGAGCAAATGGGATACATATCTGCCAAAGAGAAAATAAAAATAGAGGAAAACTAGAATATATGCTGCAAACCACACAAAATAATTATTGCATAAATGCATTATAGCAGTGGCTACTACTTCGCTAGGAGTTGAAGTTGAAGCCGCATGGGTGTCGAATGTCGACAAAGGAAAACTTCCAAATTTTTAGCTATTCTTCTAATTTGCCAAGTTTTCCTCATCAAATTTATGGACTGTTGTATGAGCTTTTTTATTATTCCTCAATTTTATTATTTTTTTGTATTTTTAATGTGTGATGACGTAATGAAGACTTTTTAGAAGGTAATCCATACTAGCGAACAATATCTTTGTTGTTGTTTCAGGCTACCAAAAGTGTTTTTGGTGCAGAACCTTGGACAGTGCCATGGAAGGCAAGGACTATTGTGCAGGTAAAACTTGTTCAAAACTTCAAATACAGAATTAGTTACGAAATACAGGGGACATCTTATATCTATCATGTATCATGGCTTTACAACTCATAACGCATTTGCAAGGAAATTGAAGGGCTGAGGGAAACTGTTTGAATATAGGCATACCGCAAGTTGACCATATAATAGTTCCAATGTTAGGTAATTGTACAGAGTCCCTAGTTAATTCCTGAATCATTCTTGGGACTAATTGAAAATCAAAGAAAAGTATTAATAGTGGAATCTTGTTCAAATAAATTGTTAATTATCATTTGTTTTACTATTACCATGTTATGTGGATTGATGTTGGAAACCGACTTGAGGAGTGTGCTCGATTTGGCAACTTTCGAACTGGCAGTGTTGTTCCCTTTAGACGATAAGCCACATATTATATTAGAAAGCACAATTAACAGTCCTACTGCAATAGAAATGCATGGAAGGCAACAAATATTAGGATACAAAATAAAATTTTCTGTTATTGCAGGTAATGCTCCTCTGGATTGCCTCGTTCTGGTTGGTTGGATCTTGGATAGTTCCATTCCTAGCTCATGCCACAGGTTACAGAAAGGAGTCTCTTTCATACAGAGGGCAAGCCTTGTACAGCCTTTTGACGGATGTGGCTGAAGGTCTTGCTGGGTGTGTCATTCTCCATCGCTGCCTTGCACGGTTCCGTCCCCTTCCATCTGGCTGGTTCAGGTTTAGTTTCAAAGGGAAATGGCAGTTTGATGTCGGCTTGGGCTACCTCTTGTTTCCTCTGGTCAACCGGCTCTCACAGGTCAACCTAAATCTGTTGCCCATTCTTCCCTCTACACCTGTGACTGTCTCAAATGTAGAGCAATCAATTGTTGCACGGGATCCAGTGGCAATGGCCCTTTATGCAATAGTGGTTTCAGTTTGTGCTCCTGTTTGGGAGGAGATTGTATTTCGGGGGTTTCTTCTGCCTTCCTTGACCAGGTATATGCCTGTATGGTGCTCAATTTTAGTGAGTTCAGTAGCTTTTGCCTTGGCACATTTCAACATGCAAAAGATGCTGCCACTTGTATTTCTTGGAGTTGTGATGGGTGCTGTTTTTGCACGATCGAGGAACCTATTGCCACCAATACTGTTGCATAGTCTTTGGAATGCCTTTGTATTCCTAGATCTTATGAAGTAAATTCTTATTATTTATTACATGTTTTTAATCCGGTCTCAGTCAGCCATTCTTTTCCCAATTCACATAATTGTTAGTGCTAGTTTGTAGGATTTTCCCAAGGTATATCCAATCTTATATTTCTTGTATGGTTTGTGCTGCTTGAGAATTGCCTAACCTAAATCATTGTTGTTGACAAATTCCGGCTGTAGCCTCTCTCTTTGTGTTATTGCCGTCTAATAACAGGTCTCATGTTTCTGGTTATCTCTTAATCCTTGGCTTTACCACTCATTAATAGGTGGCTTCAACAGTCGTGATTACTATTAAGCATGCACTGATGAGTGTTGCCTAAGTGACGTTGACAACTTTAGCGTGCTTCCTAGTACTTGGGAGTGTGTCGGTGGTTCTTCAGATGGTGGTAGGTGGTGTCAGCCAGAGAATGCCTTGTGGTAATTCCTTCTCGGGGACTGTGTATGCGTCTACTGGTGGCTTACCTTGACGACCACCGTCTGATGTAAACTTTTGGTTTGAGGCCAATTGGCGAGGTACGCAAGAAGTTATGGACCATATCCATCACATACCAATGTCCAAGTTCAGATCCGAGTCCAAGGCATCTTTCGGCAAAACCTCAATGTTTACTAGTAAATTAAATTGTTTCCTATACACTTGCTAGAAACTGTTTGATATGGGAGAATTTAAGCAACAGGTAAAAGGATTGTAATGTAGCTTTAGCTTGTGGAATTGGACCCAACACATTACCAACTGGGGCTAGATGCACTGTCATTGAGCAGTGATTCACTTCACATTAAAGTCCAGATCCCCTGAGCTTAAACGGTCTAATCGAGACACAAATGATGAATTTTGTCCATAATTCAGCCCCCACACTAACGCATCTAACAACGTCTTTCGTGGGCTGAAGTAATCAAATCTTGATTACTCGATTCTCACTATGTGTTTGTTTTCGGGGTGACAATCCAAATTCTTCGACTAAGATTAAGTACCAAGACCAATTCTACCACAACTACAAGGTTGGGTAGTGGAATGTATGTAAGTCACCTTCATTTAATTACAGAAAACCAAGTAATCCTGGTTAGGAAAGGGACTTTAATTACTGTAAGGTTAATAATGGTGGCTTTCATGTGCCCTTCTACACAACTACTTTTAGGAATTGATGTGATATTTGTTTTAGAGCTCTATTGTATTCCCTAAAGTAAGTGAGTTGTTAAGGTTTTTGTCGCCTCTCTTTTGACCTACTTGAATGGACCCTTTTTTTGGTTCTCCCTTTGCACAGCGCCACCAACGAACAATAGTGCCAGTCGGCAAACCCCANAATAATGGTGGCTTTCATGTGCCCTTCTACACAACTACTTTTAGGAATTGATGTGATTTTTTATTTGTTTTAGAGCTCTATTGTATTCCCTAAAGTAAGTGAGTTGGTAAGGTTTTTGTCGCCTCTCTTTTGACCTACTTGAATGGACCACCCTTTTTTTGGTTCTCCCTTTGCACAGCGCCACCAACGAACAATAGTGCCAGTCGGCAAACCCCTGCTGGCTTTGGACCAAACATACCTGGTTCGGTTTAGTAGCTAAAATAAAGCTAAACAGCTAACAAGGCTAAACCACCTTGGTGGCTATGGGGTTTTCTTTTTTGTGGCAGCGGTGGTGGTGGTGGTGGTGGTGGCAGCAGGGTAACAAGTGAAGTGACCTAATTGAACACAAACGGTATAAGAGCATCTCCAACAATACTATCTAAAATAGTTACTCAAAATATATTTAAATATTGTATTATCTACTTTAACTAATCACTTTTTCAAATTCACTCCAACAACGTTATATATTTTAGCTAACCATGTCAACTAATTTTACCTAACTTTCAATAATAAAATTCAAAAAATAACAATTCAAGTATACATTGNACCTTGGTGGCTATGGGGTTTTCTTTTTTGTGGCAGCGGTGGTGGTGGTGGTGGTGGCAGCAGGGTAACAAGGCTAAACCACCTTTGTGGCTATGGGGTTTTCTTTTTGGTGGCAGCGGTGGTGGTGCTCACAACGATGGAGTTCAACATAAATACTTAAATAAGTTCAATTCGTTGAAATGTGAATTAACTCACATAATTAATAGAAGTGACATTATTCAACTTTACAAAAATAAATAAAATATCCAATCTGTTTACTTGCGGATGAGTTGGACAAGTTTACTGGTAATAGATTAAAATTGCCATCCATACACAAAATCAATGAAGGGGTTTTTGTACTTGGGAAGTCTAAAAAGTTATTTCTATTTGAATACCTTGTTATGCGTTTTCTCTTTGACGCTGCTGTCTACCATTGTGTTTGCATTCTTCTCCTCACCATTTAGTAGCCCATCCATCGCCCATTTTGTGCCAGGAAACTCAAAACTCAAATGTGTCAAGTAAAAAATAGAACAATCAATTCTAAAACTTAAGAACCGTAAACATATTGAAAACGCGTGAAGTGACCGAATTGAACACAAACGGTACAAGAATATCTCCAACAATACTATCTAAAATAGTTACTTAAAATATATTTAAATATTATATTATCTATTTTAGCTAATCACTTTTTCAAATTACTCCAACAACGCTATATATTTTAGCTAACCACGTCAACTAACTTTACTTAACTTTCAATAATAAAATTCAAAAAATAACAATTCAACTATACATTANTTAAATATTGTATTATCTACTTTAACTAATCACTTTTTCAAATTCACTCCAACAACGTTATATATTTTAGCTAACCATGTCAACTAATTTTACCTAACTTTCAATAATAAAATTCAAAAAATAACAATTCAAGTATACATTGTACAAATTTAATCAATTATAGGCTACAAGAGATAACTCACCACACAAAAATTATTACTCCCAAACTAAATTTTCTCAAATTAAATCACAAAATTCAAAACAAAATCACCTCAAAACTTTCGAGTTTGATCGAAAACTTCTAAAGACTTCAAGTTTGATCAAATTAGATGTCATCGTCTCTCCATTGATCGCCTCATCCAAACACTAGACTAACAACTTCTGAAGTAGTTAGGGAGAAGTTGCTAGCTAGATGTAGATAGTGAAAATGATGAAAAACAAATAGGAGAATAGCTAGTTTATTGGAGCCACATTTTAAAGAGAAACTATTTAAAATAGCTAAAAAAAAAAAAAATTAGCNAAAGACTTCAAGTTTGATCAAATTAGATGTCATCGTCTCTCCATTGATCGCCTCATCTAAACACTAGACCAACAACTTCTGAAGTAGTTAGGGAGAAGTGGCTAGCTAGATGTAGATAGTGAAAATGAGGTTATGAAAAACAAATAGGAGAATAGCTAGTTGATTGGAGCCACATTTTAAAGAGAAACTATTTAAAATAACTAAAAAAAAAAAAATTAGGTAATCTTTTGGAGTTATTCTAACAAGTAATAATGCTCTTCTCCCTGCCTTCAGTAGGATATGTTGACTTTTACTCTATTCCTTCTTTGATCCGAATCCTCGATCAATTTGACCAAACAAATCTACCTCTATCCTAATCCCGTGTATGTCCCCGTGTTGAAGCTACCTCTATCTCTGTCCGACATGATTGTTATTTCTGAGAGTTGTGTTCTGCTTACTGCTTAGAGTTACAAGTGGTGGCTTTTTTGAGAAATAACGCGGTACTGTAAAAGTGGTGGCTTTGAAATGCCTGAAATTTAGTGGATTCATACATGAATGACATAAACAGCGACAATTTTTGTTGACTGTTGGTGGAGGATCTGACATCTGTCACTTCCTCAAAGATTCACACCCCCCTGCAAATGGAAAGTATGCACACCAAGTCAAAAAACATAAAAGGAAATTTGTTTTTTGTGATAGAATAAATGAACTTAAACTTGTACAATTTGAAGCCGAATGCTATTACTATCAATACAAGTGAGCGAAAGTTGATAAGCACATATGCTTTTGTGGTGTGACGAGGGACGAAACTTAAACTTGTACATTTTGCATCTGAGTCTTGTTACAAATCAAATTTAAAACTTCGTGCACACTAGATTGTCTTTTTCATCCTTTAATTTTATGCCTTTTTTAGTAGCTCATTATAATAACTACATTTTTTTTTCAAGAAAAAAAAACTTTATATAATGATGTTGTGGACTTATATTTAAGCTTTTTAGTGCATAATGAACTAATTTGAGTAAGAAGCCACTTCTGGTTCAGGACCCTTTTGTGCCATTTTTTAATACGGGTATTTCGGATTTTGCACCCTAAAAAAATGTTAAGTTGTTCAATTTGTAAATTTAAAAAATTAAATTTTTTATATTGCACCCTCAATGTATTTATAGTGTTGCAATATGATTCTTCTGTTAGTTTTTGCTATTTTTTTCGTCAAAAAATAATTCATTGACAATGGCGAAAAAATTAATAGAAAGGTCACATTACAACACTTTTGATATATTAAGGGTGTAATATAAAAAAATTAATTTTAAAGTAAAAATTTTAAAATCTTCAAAGGTACAAAATGTAATTCACCCTTTTCTATTTATCAACTTGTGTGCGTGTACGTGTAACCCACAAATCATATTGTTGCAGAAGCATTGAAAAGAAACTAAGAAAGCATGTAATGCTGATCTGGAAAAGGGCCCAGTGACTAGGAAGATGCCCAGAGGTGGTATCCCACACTCATTTCATTAACCAAAACCCTATAAAATATGATTAAATCGTAACTTTCCCGATTCTTCTATACATTACTAAAGTTGATACTACAGTGATCTTATTATGTTCACTAGAGTGTCAATCATGTCGGATTAAACGATTACGTGTCGGATTAAACAGGTGACGGATGAAAAACGTATAAATTCATATACAACATGTTTAATAAACAGATAAAAATCTCAACAAGAACACGACCTGTTTAATTTTAAAAAAATTATATCAACAAATTTAATATTCCATTTTTTTTACTACTAATTACAATTACCTCAAAAAATAGAAATTTTAAATCAAATCTCATAAAAATAAGACTTGAAGGTTTTAAAAAAAAAAAGCAAGAGGCTATTGCCTTTTACAGGCAACTCACCCTCCCCATCTCCTCTCATTTTTTAATGTGGGACAAAAATAAAAGACATTAATTTGCCTGTCTTTCAAGTGCCCTACAACTTCTCTCATTTGTCTTTAAAAAATAAGACTTGAAAGCTTTAAAAATAAAAACAAGATTTCATTGTTTTTTATAGGCAACTCAACCCTCTCTATTTCCCCTCATTTTTCAATGTGGGACAAAAACAAAAGACATTTATGTGTCTTTGCTTTTGAAGTGCTCTCCAACTCTTCTCCTTTGTCTTTGAACCACTACTTTATTTTTTTTTTTTATTAATTTATTTACTTCTTTTTTCTTGTTAATTTTTTAAAATAATTATTAATTTATTATTATATTAATTTTATTTAAACGGGTAAACATGTGATAAACAGTTTGACAAGTCTCACCCGAACACGACCCGTTTATTAAACATGTTTAACGTGTCAACCCGTTTATCACCCAAACACGTTTAATTCGTATCGATTTATTGTATCGTGTCGAATTTTGACAACCCTAATGTCCACTTATGTGATTGCTTGATACGTGCTCTCAATTCTCACGTAGATATTTACTTTGGAACTCTTTTCTTCTTTCTTCTTTTTCATAAACCAGTCTTTGAAAGCCTTGAAGCCACAACTTTATGGTTATTGCTTTTAAAATGAACCCATCAAAAAATATCAATATTCCACGAGGTTAACTTTAAAGTAAT